GGGGGGGGGGGGGGGGGGGGGGGGGGGGTTGCCTGATAAAATCAGGACAACATATTACTGTTTCCACTACCTATCACTGTTTTTCCACCAGATCTTCAATCCCGTCCCGAGTCGGAACTCTCGTACAGCACAATGTACTCCATGTCCCTCTCCCCTACGGTCGGAGCCAAAGGAGGAGTCACGGAGCCTCTGGTGTCCTCCCATTCGTCCATCGATCCATGAGCAGACGAGGGGGAACCAGGATGACTGATCAGCGAAGCCGAAGAGCCAACTGAAATAACATCCGAGAGCGTCTCGCCTGATGCTGTCGACGGCAAAGTCAACGACCGTGCTTGCACTGTAGGCGCCTCAGTCGTAGTCTGACCAGCCCGCATCGGAGCCTCGCCGACAGCGTGAGGCATGATCACGGAGGACGCCGCCAACGACTCTGAGCCCGAAGACGTATCAACCTCCGCAACGCTTATACTACAATCATGGGAGTTAGAGTGCTGATCCGATACAATAGGAACATCTACTCACTCAATCCATAGACTCTGGCCAAACTGATTGCCCTGGCCATCGCTCAGCCTCCAGTAACTCACGTACTTGCCGGGGTGTTCGGGTGCCTTGAGCTCTCCAGTCCAGACATCAACGGTCTCACCAGCTGGCACAGAGCCAACCTTGAACTTGGCAGTGTCGGCGCCAGATCCCATACGATCGCCTGCGACGAAGACCAACACCGTGGACTCGGGCCACTCCCTCTCACCATCATTGATAACGTTCCAAGACTTCACAAACTCAGCGCCAGGAGGGAAGATCTGCCCGTCGGGGATATTGTTCTCAGACACGCAGGTCGCGCGCAACGGAGGCAAGGCCGGAGTCTCAGCACGAGACTCAACGTGCTCTTCAGGTTGGGTTGCGAGTTCATCAGCGAAACGGTGCTCTTCGGGTTCGGTCGCGAGTTCGTCAGCGAAGGGGTCAGTCGGCTCCGCGTCAGGAACAGTCGCCGACGGCTGAGAAATCGGCCGCGCAGCTAGCAAACCAGCGAGTGAGCTCGCGAGCCTAGAGAGAATCTCAGGAGGCGCAAGCTGTTCATTCGGGCGAGCTAACAGAGGCTCCTTGGCAAGGGGTGGAGAGTAGACATCGACGATATCCTCGTTGGTGTGAGATCCTGGCATAGGAGTCGGGTCGCGCAGACCCTCGCCCTCGGAAACAGTATGCTCGATGGGCAAGGAGCCCTCATCCGGCACAGCTTCAGTCGATGGCTGCAACAAATGCCTTAGCTCCGAGGCAACGGCCGGCCAAAGCTCACTATACATGTCACTCCCGACGTTGGACGGGGCTAGCGGCAAGGACGAGAGCGCAGACATAGCCGACGGGGTGCCAGAGCTAACGGTCGAATTGGCGTTGTTGGTGCGCTGAGCGAACATGGGGAGCGTCCCAGGCATCATAACATCTTCAGACTCAGTCGAATGACCATCATGGTGCAAATCACGAGTCTCAATCTCCGGATACGTCGTCTCGCTCCTCCGTATGATATCGTCAATCTCCTCGGGGGTAGGCCAAGTCTGGGGAGAGGCGGACATCGCAACAGCAACAGGCCTTGCCGGAACACGGTCGATATCGATCAAAGAGGGAGAAGGGGGCTCGACCTGGATATTCGGAACGTGGGTGGGCACCTGCGGGAGGTTGAGCGGCAGGAGGTCCTGCGCATATCTCCTCCATGGCGACTCAGCGCGGGCAGCCGGGACGTAGGGAGGGACCCTTTCATCCTCCAGATCCCTCTCCTTCTCGGTCAACTCCATCTCGCGTCTATCGAGCAGCGCAGACGTCTCCTCAAGGCGCGACTCCCAGCACTCCAGGTTGTTTGCCCAGTCTTCAAGACTCCTCTGCCTCCCCTCAAGCGTAATCTCCTCAGCGTCCAGCTCTTCCCTCCGCGCTTCAAGGTCGCGGAGCTGGTCCTCGAGTGTTTCAGCACGAACTTGGAGGTCGTTCTCCTTATCCTCCATAGCCTCCAGACGCGCCTCGATCTCCTGGTCAACAGCGCCTTCACGCGTCATCAAGTAATCCTCCCGCCTCTCGAAGACCTCTTCTTTCTCTTCCACGATCTTCTCTCTGCCTTCTAAGATGTTGAACCTTTCATCCAGCTCTCTCTGGCGCTCGCCCAACGCGTGGTCGATCGCGGCGATCTCGCGCTCGCGCTCCTCCAGTTCGTCGTTCCGTAGGTTCAGCGCATCGCTCCGGAGGTTCACTGCGTCCTCGCGCTGCTCCAGCTCTTCCTCCCTAGCCCGGAGAATCCTCTGCATCCTTTCAAGACGCTCTTGCTCTTGACGGTCCTCGGCGTAGCTGTTGACCCTCGGTACGACATCATTGCTCCCCTTCAACTTCAACATCGGGTGGTTGGAAGGGTGGACGGGGATGGGCATCGCCTCGCATCTCGAACAGAGATCATAGTCCGGGCAGGCAGGATGCATGCACTACATGACAGGCGCGTGAGTTCATACACAGACAAACCGGCTCGCTTGAATGATCAACGTACCTTGTACCTGACCCCTACGATAACCTGAGTGCAGGCTAACAAGATCCATGATGTCAGTACTAGCACCACCTTGTAAAAATGAAGACCTTACAGTCACACCTCGCAGTATGCACTTCCGTCGCAGAGGCATCATGCCTCAGCTACGCGGGGAACGTCAGAATAATCTAAGCTAGAGGAGGAGCGGCTACCCACAATGAGATCCTTGGAATCCTTCACGCGCACAAACCCATGACTCGGGTGCTGCTCAGGGGTTATACTGCAAATGCAATCTCATAAGCAACATATTCAGATGTCTGTAAGAAAGCAGGGCTTACGAGAAGCAGCGCTCGCACGCGTCGAAGTCTACGTGAATGGTCAGCTTCGCCCTAACATCTCTTACCGATCGCTACACGTACCAGGGCAGTCCAAGCATTTCTACAAATCACCACACGTCAGCCACTCAACCCCCATATAACCGACAACCAACTCACATATCTCTCCCCAACAATCCTCGAATCACACAAATCACAAGTCGCATTGTGCCGAACAGGCTCCGCAGGAGGAACGGCAGCAGCAGGCCTGGTCCTGGTCTCCACGGGCGGCGCAGCAGTCCGCTCGCCGTTCCCGCTGAAGACGTTGTGCACATACATCCCCCCCGGCTCGGTGACATCGAAGAACTCATGGAACGGATTGTGCAGCTCCGCCGAGCCGGACTCCATGCACGGCGTGCACAGGTCGTAGTCTTATGGGACGAACGTCAGGTCAAAACCCCAGATAAACGTGATGACATCTTACTAGGGCAATCGAGGCACTTGTGCCGCACGCCGACGACGATCTCGTTGCACGAATCACAGACGACGTCCAAATGTATGACGGTCTCCTGGGCGTTTCTCGTGCTCCCGTTCTGGCTGGCAATACCGACGCGCGCGTTCGAATTGACGCTGCTCGGCGCCTGGGACACGACGCTCGGAGTCATTGGAGACGGGGGCGACGGCGGCGGGCTGACAACCCGCACCCGCGGTGGCTCACTTGAGGCATGGTGCGACGAATGACTCTCGAAGCTCCCGGGGAAGGTCGGCAACGGCGGGGGAGGCGGCACGTTCCACGAGGGTGAGTAATACGAGTTCCAATGAGGCTGAGGTGGAGGCGGAGGCGGAGGTATGTGCGAGGACTGCGGCTCGGGGCGCGCCAGCCCGAGTACGACCGCCGGGTCCACAAATGCGCCGGGCATGCTGAACGCGGTGTCTCTGGACTGAGCGGTAGGGGGCGAGGAGCCTGCCGACTGCGGCGGGCGTGACGTGTCGAGGATGGGCGGGGGCGGTATGCCGGACATGGCGACATTGCTGGCGATGCCGTCGAAGAGCGGCGGTGGGGGCGGGGGGATCCCGTTTGCCCCGTCGACGACAGAAGAGGGCGGGGCACCGCGCGGAGCTGGGGGAATCTGGGGAGACTGGGTGCGCTCCCTCCACCGCTCGCCGAAGCTCCGTTCCATGATACGGTCGAAGTCCCTGACGAAGTTGGTGAAGAGGTCCTGGATGACAGGCAACGGGTCGACGTCACGCTGTGGCATGGACTCGTTGAATGTAGAGCGCGGCGGCGATGCTCGCGGAGTGCGAGATGCTGAGGACGACGGAGGCGAGGCTCGCATGCGTTCATGTTGTAGTCCCGGCATGTGCTGCGGCTGCTGCGGCCCGAGACTCGAGATGGAGGGCTGCGGAGATGGCACGTAGGTACCCGTAGCAGATCCTTCGTCGTACGTTATGAGTCTATGCAGCTCCATGTCCCAGTCTTCGAGGTTCATTGGGGACCGCGACTCGGAGCGCGCCGAGTGGCATTGGGTCAAGGGACTGACCCTGATGCTGGGCGTGACGGTAATAGACTCCTCGGGGCCAGTAAGCCAGATATCGTTGGCGGCACGGCCCTCGGGAGCACTGCCACTTTGAGAGCTCACACCAATGCCCTTCCCAACGGCTGGCTTGTGTGGAGTGTCGTCAAAGACGGTGAAACGGAGTAACGCGCCGGGCAACGGTCGGCCGTTATACTGCTGGATAGCGCGCTCGTATTGCTCGGCGTTGTGGACTTCCTTGCTCAGCAGGATACGCGAATTGGGGAATGCGGGTTGGGGCGCGAACAGTAATTTGGAGAGGTAGTAAGACTGAGAGATTGGAAAGACGCGATAAAGCTGCGAACAGCAACGTTAGCAACGGCGAAAGAGCACAGTACGAATCGCTGAGGACGCAGCCGCCGTGAGCGACGACGACGACGACGACATACCTGGTGAAACAACTGCTGATAAGACGGAAAGAGCGACTGGTCAAAGGTAAACTTGCGGGTCTGGCTGCGGTAGGTCGCCTTGACGGTGAACATGCTGGCTGCTGGCTGTGGGCGACCTGGACGAGAGATAGAGAGAGTGAGAGGCGCCGAAGCACTGCGGCTTTATACGCAGGCTCGCATGACCCCGGATTCTCGCCAAGTACCGACGCACTGGCGCCACACTCTCCCGCCCACGTGGCCAGATCCCGTCCGCAGATCGCTCTGAAAAGTTTCGTCAAGTCCAGCTTCAGTGCAGGCGCTATGGCCACAAACGCAAAGCTCAAGACTGCGTGCGTTGTATGTTGTGTTCCAGGCCAATGCTAACCTTCACTACAGATTCAAAAAAGCAAAGGTCATCGCACCCTTGCACACCGGGGGACCGGCAGCCGTGTCGCAGGATGGCACCAAGCTCGTTACCTGCGTCGGCGAGGAAGCCATCCTGACCGACGTCAAGTCCGGCCAGGAGATATGCAGATTTATGGGTGTGCGTAGCCGGCTATACCGGCGCATATAGCCACTCACTTATTTCCCAGGACACCGAATCCATCACCGCTCTGTGCATCTCGCCATCCTCGAACCACCTGCTGCTCTTCACCACCAGCCTTGCCCTGCGCGTCTACGAGATCCCCGCGTCCCCCACCCGCCTGCCCAAGCCCGTCCACCCCGTCCGCGTCATTTCCCGCGCCCACGAGTCCCCCGTCCACGTCTGCAGGACCGACCCCACCTCCACCTACCTCGCCTCCGGCTCCGCCGACGGCGTCGTCAAAGTCTGGGACTTTCTCCGCGGCTTCCCCACCCATGTCTTCAAGGGCCACGGCGGCGTCGTCAGCGCCCTCGCCTTCAACTTTCCCCGCGACCCGTCGGCGGTCGGCTACCAGGAGAAGATGCAGCTCATCACGGGCTCCGCGGACACGCGCATACGCATATTTGATTTGTCTGCTGCGTCCGCCGCGGCAAAGACTGGCGCGAGCTCGAAGCCAGAAGCGGTCCTCGAAGGCCATGTATCGGTCCCGCGAGGGCTGGACGTATCTCCCGACGGCAAATGGCTTGTCAGCGGTGGACGTGATTCCGTCGTACTCGTCTGGGACTTGGCCGTCAAAAAGCCTAAACCTGCCACTAAATCCCAAAAGAAAGGCAAGGAGAAAGAGGTGCTTCCTACTCTCGTCAAGACAGTCCCCGTGCTAGAGCGCGTGGAGGCTGTCGGCCTGCTCCACCCAGACGAGGACCTTGCAGGGTCCAGCTCTGACGGGGCAAAGCTCAGATTCTGGACGGCGGGCGAGAAAGGCGTCGTCAAAATATGGGACGCACGAGAAGGCAACGTCCTCTTCACCCTCGGCAAGGAGCAAGACAACATTCCAGACGACCAGGAAGAACAGCGACAGATCCTAGACGCCATGTACGCTAATATCTCACTATATGCTACGCGTAAACTAAACACTCCACAGGTACCTCCCCTCAACCTCCACCATCGTCTCCATCCACGCCGACCAAAACATCCTCTTCCACTCCCTCTCCTCCCTCTCCCTCACGCGGCAACTCATCGGGTTCAACGACGAGATCATCGACTCGACCTTCCTCTCCCCCGTCCCCTCCGCCCACGACACGCACCTCGCGCTCGCGACCAACTCCTCGCTCATCCGCGTGTACGACACATCCACGCTCGACGCGCGCCTGCTCGAGGGGCACACCGAGATCGTGCTCTGCCTCGACAGCAGCCCCGACGGGCGGCTGCTCGCGAGCGGGAGCAAGGACCGCGCCGCGCGCATCTGGGCGCCCTACTCCCACCCACAGGACGCGGGGTGGGGCTGGGGCTGCGTGGGCGTCTGCGAGGGCCACGCGGAGAGCGTCGGCGCGGTCGCGCTCCCGCGGAAACGCGGCGAGGACGGGGCGGTGAGCTTCATGTTCACCGGCAGCCAGGACCGCACGATCAAGATGTGGGACATCTCAGGCGTGCCGGCGAGCTACGACCCGCGCGCAAACACGGCGCCGGCGAAGTGCAAGTCCCTCTTCACGCACAAGGCGCACGACAAGGACATCAACGCGCTCGATATTTCCCCCAACGACCAGCTGCTCGCCTCGGGCTCGCAGGACAAGACCGCGAAGGTCTTTGCGATATCGCGCGAGAAGCTGACGCTGCTCGCGACGCTCGCCGGGCACAAGCGCGGCGTGTGGAGCGTGCGGTTCGCGCCGGGCGAGCGTGTGCTCGCGACGGGGAGCGGGGACAAGACAGTGAGGATATGGAACCTCGAGGACTTTGCGTGCGTAAGGACGCTGGAGGGGCATGGGGGCGCGGTGCTTAGGGTGTTGTGGCTGCCGAGGGAGGGAGGGGCGGGCCAGGCGCAGGTTGTGAGCACTGGGGGTGATGGGCTCGTGAGAGTGTGGGACGGTAGGAGTGAAGAGTGCTTGTGCACTTTGGACGGACATGAGGAGAAGGTTTGTGTTGTGTCTTAATTCGTTGTTGGATGTGATAAAGCTGATGCAACTATATGAAGGTATGGACCCTAGCCGTAAGCAAAGATGCGCGGACGATCGTGTCCGGCGCTGCGGACTCCCTCCTTACGTTTTGGGAAGACTGCACGGAGGAAATCGAGGCAGAGAAGGAGTCCAAGAGAGCCGAAATGGTACTGAAGTACGCCGCCCCAGCATTTGCGAGTAATTCCGTGTGCTAACCCCAACGACAGGGAGCAAGATTTCCTAAACTACCTATCTCTCCACGACTACGAGCATGCTGTCGCCCTCGCCCTGGCGATGGAACAACCCGGAAGACTATTGTCCTTGTTCCGCGACCTGCTCTCCTCAGCTGTAGACGAACCGTCGAGTCCCGTTCTACCAAAGCTGCTGCGACAGCTTACCCCGCCCGATCTGGTTAAACTGCTAAAGTACGTCCGCGACTGGAACACCAACGCGAAAAACGCGAGCGTGGCGCAGGGCGTGCTCGGCGTCATCGTTCGCGTCTGGGACGCCGAGCGCTTGATGAAGGCGTTCTCCGCCGGCGAGCTTGGTGTGCCAGGACCGGACGAGCTTGTTACGGGCGACGGGGCGAACAGCCTACACGAACTGCTGGACGCGCTCATCCCGTATACGGAGAGGCATCTGGCACGGATGGATAGGTTGGTGAAGGAGAGCTATGTCGTTGATTATGTCCTCGGAGAGATGGATGGGGGTATATTCGGCGGGGTGGATGAAGACGAAGACGATGTAATGGAGATTGACTCGTAATTGGATGCAATAGTGCAGACTACAAACCGTGATAAATCTTCTGATCAACGACGCCTTTGTCTTCTAGCTCTTACCGATACAAACGATACTTCCGAGTCCGAGAAGGGTATATCTAGTTGCCAACCGGTCAAAGAGGGGAGAGCTTCAAGTATGGCCGTCGTTTAAAGCTATTTCAGCCACTCTCCCTATCCTAACACCTTCGACTCCGTTGAATACCAGCAGCAACTGTCCCGGGGTCACGTCTTCCTTCCGCAGCTCACCGTGTTTGGCCTCCTGAATCCTGCCTTGATCGAGCAAATATCTCCTCATGACGCCAGGTAAACAGCCCGTGCTGGGTGATGGCGTTAGCCAGATAGCTGCGCCGGAAGGGGAGGAGCGGGGGAATGCAACGTTCCGGATGGTAGTCTCTGAGATGAGAAGATCGGGAGTGTAGAGGAGAACATCGCAGTCGCTGGACTGTAGGGTATGCGCCTCGGGATGGTTGGCAGCGGAAGATGAGGCCGAGGCCGTAGTCATAGGACGTATACCAGCCCTCTTCCGAGCATCATCATAGTGCTTGCGATTGGTGGTCTTGGTGCTCGTGAATATCGACGGCGAGGTTGGCTCGGTATCAAGGTACAGGGAGACATAAGGCTGTCCCGCGAGAGGATGATTCGACGCTGCAGTTGAGCCCGTCGCATCTCCTGCGTCAAACAACGAAATATCGAAGATTTCTCCAGATGAGGGGTGGGACAAGGGGAGGAGGGGCCTCGTAGCGTTGGCTGTGGCAGTCAGGATCCCAGTAGGTGTTAACAGGATCCGTATCTATGCTTCTGCGTTTATTGTACGTAACATCAAAAGGCCATCGTACTCACCTTGAACGCTGTACTCTCATCCGCGTCTATGAACTCGCTGACCGCTCGTTCGCACTCAAGCCTTACCTCGTCCACCGTCAACGCTTTCACATTAGTCCAGCCATGCTCCCCAGCAGCTCTCCTGAGGCGATCCACATGGTATGAAAGGAGCCAGTAGCGATCGCCTTCGACCAGGTTGACCGGGTCGTATCGTGTAGAGGTGACGAGATTGAATTCGGTCTGCATGCCGACTTGTATAAAGTTGTTTACGTGGCCTCTTTCTGGTAAGCGCCTTATATCGGACTTCGACTCTCAAACCACACGTTTCCGCGAAGTCGAGCGTTTCTTTATGTCTTAGATCAAGCATTGGCTTAGTGCTCCGAGGATATTGCCACGAGTATGACTGGTATGTACAATGCCGAGAAATGTCAATGATGACGACTTCAGTGTCACGATAGCTAACATTGCCAGTATTACTGTGTCCTTCAATTGGACAAACATAGTAGTGAGCGCGAAGCTCGATGCGCGCATGGTGCATGCAATGTGATACACGGTTGGACGAAGACCAGAATCAGGACTCAGACGCGTCTCCGACCCTTCAAAGCAACCGCGGTCATAAATATATTCTGCCTGGCATTGACCCCCGCTTCCGGTGGACCGGTGAGATATCCTTTCATCAGTCGCTGGTAGGTGGTGTGGTCACGACCCACTCGTTTCTGCTCCTAATCGCCTCCTCGACCTCCCGTCTCCTTTTCGCTTCCTCGTCTGCCAGTCGTTCTGCCTCTTCAGCTAACCTCTCCGCCTCTCTTCTCTTTCTGGCCTCTTCTTCTAACATAGTCTCTAGAGCCCTCAATCGCTGTTTCGCCCGGGACACCTCAGCTTGCGCTTCCATCAACTGGTCAGACATTCTCTCGGACAGAGAGACGGCGTCAGCGGACTGTCTCTTCAGGCCTGCCATTTCAATCCTGAGACGGTCGAGCATGGCTTCGGGGGACTCATCCTCTCCATTGGGAGTGTGGGTTCCCTCGATGTCAGCCGACTGGATGTGGCAGAGCTTCTGGGTAGCGCTCTGACTTGCGCTTGCTTCACCGTATGTTGCCTTCCTCAGTATGAAACGATCCCGTTCCTCGCTCTCGCATTCGTCCTCAGAGAAAGGTCTGTCCTCATACTCCATGAGCTCGTCTTCGTCCTCTTCTGTGCAGGCGTTTCCTCCGGTGCGCAGCGCAGAGACCTTGCATTTCTTAAGCGTCCGGTCCGCAGACATCGCAAGGGTGGTGAAAGAGGGCAAGCCGGTGACACTGTCATCCTGTGCACTCTTGCGAGGACGGCCTCTCTTCTTCGGTGCCCCAGGCTGTGCTTCTGGAGGGACGTCCTTATTTGTCCGCCCACGTTTGCGGGGTCGCTTCGTGCCCGGTGGTGCTGAGAGATTGACAGTCCAATATGAGCCGAATCCCGGGTCGGTGACCGGCCGTGGCTGTCGCTCGAATAACCTGTTCAGCGACAGATGGTGTCGGACCGATTGCTGAACCCCGATCAGCATTTGTGAGATTGTGGCTACGGCGTAGCAAGGGCTCACCTTCCATGTAGGACCGGCAGTCTTGTAATACGGATATTTCTCCTCCATGGCCGCGTATATCTCCCGAATTGTGAGCCTCTTTTTCGCACTGCCCAGGATTGCGCAGCGTAATATGACTGGCAGAGTATGTTGTGGCCGGCCGTTCGTGTCGGGTAGACATGCTAGGGTGTCCGGACAGTGTGGGTGAGGGGGGTGTATATTCACAATCGTATTTGGCGGGGTGTAGCGGGGAACATCCTCAGACGAATTCTCGAGGGATGTAGAGGCTGGTGACGGTAGCGCATGGGTTGGTGGGGGTGAAATATCGTGGCTAGTAGCGAGGAATCGATGAGACCGTTACATGAGCGCCAGGCAGCGGGCAAAAAATCGAGAACTCTTACCTATCACTTCCCTCGACATGATTCTGAGGATTGAGTAGACTTGTCAGGCTCGCCATGGGCGTTTCTACCACCTCCCGACGCTTTCGAATATCTGAGGATCGGGGGAGGGCACTTATGGTAAGACGTTGTTCTTGTGGGTCCCAAACAAAGGCGCTAAGCGCCCACTACGCCCATTGTTCGCGCTATCAGATGCTTTTTACCCAATTTGTAACTTTGCGAGCCGCATGTTTTGGACACGTGCCTGCGGGCCGCAGGCGGAAAGGTCTGTCTAAATGAAGTACAAGGAGAAGTGCCGCGACGGTAACAGCGGTACATGATTCGAAAAGCAACCAACTCTGAACAGCTCTAAACATCCGCTAGTACACACCGTTTCTGGTTAAATTAGAATTAAGGTGAGGTTCTAGAAGTACGTATGCTACATCAGATTGAGAAAACATAGATAACACATGGTGACGGGAACGAATAATAGTACAATTCAAGGTGGAGGACGAGCGCGAGGATCACTGCTCGGAAGTGACAGATTTTCGGGGTAGCCCTGCTGCCAGTCAACAATCCGCGGATGCGTCTGGACGGAAGGGACAGGAGGTGGAGCACTACTGCTTGGTGTATTTGATGCCCGTGACCATGAGGTTTCCAGAGAACGGGAACTCGTCGAGGGGCTGCGAGGCCACCACTCGTACCCGGGGAAGAAAGAGGTAGAAGGCTCGATGCCAGGAACGTCCAAGCCGAGCATGTTCGCCAAGATGCGTCGGCTTACCTCCGGTGCCTCCTCCGGCTCTGGTTCTGGACTTGTTCCGAAAGCCCTTCTCTGTAAGAGGTCGGAGCTCTTTTCTCCCCCTTCGTCCGCGCTACGCTTTTGTCTTGGAGGGGGGTTGATAAGGTTTCCAGTTACTCTCTCATATTGCAACCTGACGCTATTCAGTAGATCCAGCACTCTTTGAGCACTAGACCAGGTTTGCTGGATACAAACACGTGAGAAAACACAACAAGTCAAGGACAGGTGAAGCATACCGCTATGGATCTCGACGCCCGTATCACCTGCTCGTAACCTAGTGATGCCTGGGGGTTATTCGGACGGAGTTTGACTGATAACAGGAGCGTAAGAGAACATGGAAACACAGCACCATAAAAGCTCACTTACGCGTGACGATATGCATGTTACTGCGAAATGCATGTTAGACCGCACGGAATATCTGATGCCAAGCTTGGAACTCACCCAGCGGCGAAGGAATGATGTGTAAATATGGGGGAGGAGTACTTGAGGTTGAACCATTTGTGGAATGTCGTGACTTCAGATTGAAGATATAAGAGATAGTCAAATGGAGACAGAACTATCCTACCTAAACTGCTGATTGTGCAAGCAGCACTTTGACACTGATCGAAGATTCGGAGGGAGAGGGTGTCCCTGGAGTCGGCAGCAAGATGACCGGTCCTATGATGATCTTTGAGAACGAACGGTTTTGCCTCGGGTAATGGCAGCTCTTACGCAATCTCATCAACGGGTGGTAGCCTAGCGAGAGAGGTCAGCCAGGGCCTTGACGACGGGATCTAGAAACTCACAAGGGAGAGTAGAGCAGAAGTCTCGCGGAATTATAATATACATGGAGATGAAGTATGTATGGCGGCGGCGGGGGTCGTGAGGCGCTTGCGCTGTCGTAGCGGAGACATTCCGGCAGGTTGTAAAACCATTGGTCCATGCTACGCTCCAGGTCCAGGAGCTTTGCCCTCAACTTGTTGCGGGACTTCAGTCGTATGCTGTACATTTTTTGCAATATGTTGCCCACGATCACAGCTGAATACCAATGAGCATGCAGGAGGACAGGCAAAGCAACAGCGCGTACAAAGACCGGTCACTGCTCTGAAATAGCTTTGCTGCCTGCCCGGCACAGGCAAATATTCGTTTGGTGCATCACCAGGTTCTAAGCGACGCCACTCCTCACTATCTCCTTCCTGTAGTATATGGGTAAGCACGTCAAATATACACGTATTAACACATGCCATGACACGAAACGCACCTCATCGACGTCAGGCAACGGCGTGTCAAAGTCTGCGCTATTGATCATGGGAGGTCGACCTTGGATCCGATTAGAGCGTTGCAGTCCCTTATAGGCACTAAGAGCTTACCCATAAAGACACAGCTATACCTATGTTCGAGATCAGCAACATATCCTTTTGTCCCTCGGCAGGTCTACTTACTTATCCACCAAACAGCAAGACCACCATATCGTCTTCCGGAATTGCTTCTCTTCTAATGCAAACATGTCACCACCGTGGTACTGGAACTTATCGGGGTCACGATTCAGGCCTAGATCTTGTGCCTAGACGGACAGGGTCAGGCAAGCGTTGTTATATATGCGGATTCGCACACCATTCTAATGGCCATGCCTGTTCTCATGGACGTCATTTCTCGAACGGGAAGAAATCATACCAAAGGACGTACCAATATACAGCCAGCCTTGCTCGAAGGACCCTGAAAGGACTTGTACAGGACATTTAGAGTGGCGAAAGCAGATCAACATACCGATGCCGAATGCTCGCACGCCCAAAAGGAGCAAAACTTGGCATGTAGACGGCCGAGAGTGGTGGTAGACTTTGTCTATTGAAACGTCACAGCCAAATATTATCGGTAGACGTATCAGATGCGCTCACCAATGATCAGTCGAGCCGACTGTGCATAAGGGCAAGTGTCTTCGTTCCCCGCCCCGTCTATATACCGCGTAGCGATAGAAAACATGACTAACAGCAGAACCTTGGATAGAGTCTGGGAACGCTGAGGGCCTTGAGGGGGAATGATGTCAAACCCGGTGACCCGTCTGCCCTGAATAGTTGCTGCAATCAGTTCGGGCGTCAAGACATTCGTGACCAAATCTGGTACTTACAAGGAAGGACAAGAATACAAATTAATGGTAACAGTCAATCAATGCTGTTCAGGATTGGTAGGCAACTCACCTCTCCTGGTATAACCTCAAGAACTGGCGCTTATGGACAACCGGAAATGCCGGGTGTACATAGGCAAAGTACAACTCGACTAGGCGGTCTTGCAGTGCAGGGTCAGGCATGTTCACGTCCACGAATTCTTCATCCTGGTAGGATAATATCTGATTTCGTGCTGGGGGCCATATGCCCATCATAGGGAAACGCCTAAAGGGGCGGTCAGTGATCGTGAATGGCGAAGAAACAGGAGCTATTTCACCATATGCCGCCTTCAGTGCGGTCATCCTCGCGCTCCGTCTTTGCGAGAACGTGCAAACCGCTTGGACGACCAGGAAATCGAGCCTAACGAACATGTCTAGGCCATGCGGAAAGACTGGTGGACCGGCAACATACCTCACTGTTCTCGTCCAGTGACAACTGGCCGAAGCTCTGATTCTCGGTCTCACTATCTATGGAATCGCTATCCGAGTCTGGCAACGCGTGTCAGTAGAAGCATTTCTGAGGAAGAGCCTAAGTCATACCAGTCAGGTTATCATGGGCATAACCCCTCCAATCGCCACCCTCGCCAACGGACCCGTTGGTGCGGCGCCGCTGAGACACCGGCCTCCCAGACTGGTCATATTTTGACCTATCCGGGAAGACAGCGCTCGTGAGCCCGAAAGAGGTATGACCATGGCTCGCAGGGGCAGCCAATCTATGCGACAATTTATCCTGCCAATCCATAGTGGGGACCGGTAGCTTCGTACTCTCTACATGAATCATGGCTTGGTGTCCTTCTAACGCTCAGCGGACTCACGTACCTTCTCGGGATGATACTATTTCGCGAGATACTCTCGATTGCCTGCGAGGGCGTGACCGATCCCGGGCAGAGCTAGCTTCGCCCGCAAAGAAGGAGACAAAGAAATCCTCTTTGCTCGCATCGGACTTCTGCTTCTCTCGACCAGCAGGACCCTTGCACGAATTGCAAGTTTTCAGTATCGAGTGCCCCACCTCATCCAGACGTGCTTACGAATGGACCCGATTGCACTCTCTCGAGTATGTCCTTTGCCAGTTCGTCTCGCCGTAGATCGGAAACAATACTTTGACATCGCGGATCCGGGGAGGACACGATAGCTCCAAGGAGGGATTCCACCATGTGCCACCTGTGCTCTATGGCATTTATGTAACCCTTGGGTGGCCCTCGCTTATAGCTTGGACCTTTAAGCACAAGAGTTAAACGAATCATAACGTGACGCCGCGACGATCTTACCCTCAAATGTGCAAGCTATCGTAGATACATTCAGGTCAGATGCTGCCTATTGATCTAGTGCGTAAGGGGGATACTTACCCACACCAGCTGCAGCACAGTTCTTGCATGTCGTGCTATCCGGTGAACGCTCGCACTTGCTCTTTGACTTTCGGCATTGATCACAAGCTATATGGACCCATGATTACTCACAATCCCGCTAGACGAATCGGTAGCTTGCCTCTGCTGCTCCTCTTTCGTACGGCTGCCTCCGATTCATGCCCATCGTGACCTTCCTCATCTGAGCCCTCCAATCTCCAGTTGACGCGAGACGTCGTCGTCATGGCAGAACAACACGTATTGCTGAACGCTGGTGCACCAGAGGATCACGAAAGACGGAAATTCAGGCGACGCGATACATATAGCAGCCTGAGTACGGTTTCGGTTCGCAGCTTCGGGTTCGCGATACATCCTACCGTAGATCAGTCACGTGAACTGGGGAAGAATTTTCAGATCCCGCGACGATTGCTCAGGGCCTCGACATGCATGCGCTGTGCTCTTACTCCACACTGCATCTACAGCGAAAAATCGTGGTATAACGAAACGCTGGATTGACTAGCCGTGTATGTGCCGTGTATCTTGCGCAAAGTTGCGTTCGACCTCCTCGGGCATAGAAGGCAAACATGGGGCTCAACTTTACGAGCGATACCACGATTTTTTCTACTGTTTGGCCTTCTTCCAAAGGTGATCGACCCTGCCGTGTATGCCGAGATACCTCTACCATTGCCGCGGCAGTATGTTCGATAAACTCGACGTTGATGTCATCTCAGGCTTCAGTGTACAAGTGGTTGGTGGCAGTCGGTCCCGGTCGTTACTTATGAGGTATGCGATTGACCAATATAGGTAAATCCAAGCATCATGTAGGCATCAGAAGTAGGTGTATCAGCCTCGGAGTAGTAGGTCCTTAACTACTTCAGCGGACTGAAGGGCAGAGGGGACAGAATGAAAGCGTCCATAGTCTTGGCTAGTTGTGCGGTCTAAATCCGACAGCAATCAGGAAGGGTAAAGTGAATGGCAACAAACCGTCCTGACCTTCGAGACAGTCTCGGCCCAACCGTCCACTTTCCAGGCCTGTTCCCGAATCTCCTTTCTAGTTTCCAAATCGCTGTTGGCAGATGAGTGGACGAGTCACCGGAGTTAGTCGGACACGTACGGATATTGCCACATGTGATGCACTTGGTGTAGACGGCCTACTTGAGAAAACCACGCGCCGACCGGGGCGACTAACTTCCTGCGTGCCTCAATACCTCTCCGCCTTGTTCCGGCAAGCATAGTTAGAATCTGCCGGAATTTCAAGACGTGGATACTGTACTTACCATACATGCTCCCATTCCAAGAGAGCACCGGGTCTCAGCTGGTAAGACCTGAGCTCAAAAATACCTCCTTGCGCATGGGGAGGTGCAGTGGGAAAGAACGCAAATTCCTGGCTTAGCTGCGAGGAACGAGACGTAAGATACGGAAGCATCTTCGAGTATGCTTTCTCATGCTTGAGGTATGTGAGACACCACCCAGAAACAAGTCTTCTCAGTCGCGCACCTTCGACCCCTGCAACATCGCCGATGTCCTATCGTATCCAGTATAGTTCTCATATTCCAGAATGTGATCTGCAAAGTGGTTGTCAACTAGAGAAGCGGTGGGCACAATGGAAATGAAGCTACAGAACGTGTCCTGCTCGCCGACTGTCACCTGCCAGTTGCCGGTCAGCTTCACATGCAGATCGGTATCCTCTCTCAGCCCAGTGTAATATTCCTCTCTGCAGTTCATCAAGCGTTAGGCTAAGGGCAGCTCCGTCTTCAGTGCAAAGTACTGACGCGGCTGCGATGTATTTCTCGGTAGCGTCTGGCCTGACTCGGTGTACTGGCAACACCATTAGAAAGACACCAACGGAGCCCTATAGTCATCATACCTTCAAACCCGTGAACGTACTTCCCGCGAGCAATCAGCCTAGAGTGCTGCTGAATTTCAACGTCGCCCGCTTCCTTGGCTTCCGGTGAGCCATGCAGTATTGACTGAGTCCAAACAACTTAGTGGGAAGGCAGCCGCGTCGCGGAGGAACTCTATCACCTTCACGGAAACATATCTTCGACCGCCAGTTGCGTAGGGCAGACTCTTCGTCAGGTTTCGGAGGGAGCTCTGTAGAGACATCTGCTTGGGAATCAAAGGACTGTGACAAGCTTCAAGGGATAGACAAGTGCAAGACTACTTGGTTGTGGCTCGCCGCGGCATGCGCAGGCGGCGGTGCAAGTGCGGAGGTGAAGCGGAGGCTTTATCGCAGGTGGCGGTGATGTAAGCGGGGTAGCGTCCGCGGCGTCGGGCGGAGGTACTTCCACCTTCTGTGTGGATGGACATACAGGTCAGCGAAGGTAATATCTACATTAATGATTGCTTCATATTGCATTGTATCTAGACACTCGGCCCTAAAGGCACATTCTGCGATCATACGTTCCCGCTCGGGCCCATGACAGCGAGAGACATAGTACGGATTAGAGCCGCTTGACCATTATCAAAGAAAGCCTGTATCCCATCTCAAAAGCATGCTCATCGCTCCAGCCTGTGATCTCCTTGACCGCGGCGGCAGCTTTCTCAATAGGATCTTCGGCAGTGCCTACTTTCTCTCTGGAGGAGTTAGGACAGTCAGCCATCAAATCGGAATAATTGGAGGTTCGCGTTACTCACGGATTGGCTGCCTCCCATCGGTGTACAGGGCTCCCCCTAAGTCGAAAGGCTCAGTACGACGGATGACGACGTCGCTGCCTGTGGCTTACGTTCTAGCTCTTGCCTTCTACATAGCATGAGAGATAAATTGGTCAATCTATGGTCTGGGACAATCTCTTCGATTACACTTACCATCTGGTGTATGGTCAGTTTCTCTGACATATATATTTCTTCTTGACCTGCAGCCTCGTCGTTGTTCCAGACCTTACGCTCCACAGGACCCCATACGCCTGTGTCCGAAGGTGGGAGAGCAAGCTCCCTTGACATATCAAAGGCAATCTCGTTTCCTTTCCTAGGATAAGTTGAAGATAAGTGCACATACACATATAACCCAACCATCAGCGTGCGCACTGGAAATAGTTTTTGAGGACCGACATGACAACATCTCGCATTATGGCGTTGAGGCGTTGCGCCTCTGGGTGGGCACTGGGAGCGATGAAGGGCCGACCTGCAGAAAACAAAGCCACCGTCCCGCCTGATCGGAGAACCTTCTCTGCACTGGACCACCAGTCCGGGGCGAACCAGTGCGCTGTTGCTGAATGAGATTGATGCCGTACGCTCAAGAGGTCTACTACACTGACCAGCTGTCCCAGCAGTGATAAGGTCTACTGACCCATGCTCCGCGGGGATATCCTCCGCGGAACCAACTTTATATTCCAACTTAACCTTGAGCCCTTCGGGGATGGATTTGGAGGCTACCTCGACCATGCCTTGGCTGGGATCCACTCCAGTTACTTTATCGAAGTAAGAAGTTAAAGCCTCGGAGACTATGCCCTTGAGTAATTTGTCGTCAACGGAAGCCTGACGGCCAACAGAAGGGTTCTGGACGTACAGGGCCACAGCCTAGATCGACTGCGTGCCTTCGTTGACCACCTTGAGAGTCATGGAACTGGAGGATGTCTCGGTAAAGATGCTCTGGGTACTGCTTCGATTTAGTACACGTGTACAGTACTCGTCATTGTAAATTAAAGAGGCTCACCTTGGGACGATGTGCCCTGTAATTCTCGGCGGAGAAACTGGGATCTGCAAAGGTATTCTGAGACATCTCGCAGTACTAGGAGACTTCGAATTCTAGGCTTGATACTGCGCCTCCTAAATAAGACCTAGTGGACGAGCGACTGTCTTCAATGGATTCGAATTCCGGTTGAGACGTTCTGGTGGCACCGGTGGGTCAGTGGAGTGATATCTCGTCCGAAGGTCCTTATATACATCGCGTCTGGTATGTCCCCACATCAAGTTGACTGTCAAGATGCACCGCATCTAGCGGAAAATGTGAGTCATTTAGCACCCCAGGGGCGATAGGTTCGCTGCGTACTCTCAAAATAACAGCCACGTATCTGAATCCGCGGCCTTACCGGGCGTTGAGTCACGGCATCTTTGTAAGTCTTAATCTCCCAGTGGTCCCCGAAGTTACCGCCATTTATCGTTGGCAGACAAGGATTTACCTGCAGGTACTAGTAGAAGCAAAGCGCACATTCGAAGGGCGGAAATAACACGAGCCAATCGGCTTCCCCTCGGACGTCACACAAAGTTTAAACAGCTTTACAAAAGCAAGCGACTCGCCCCTGACCCTTCACAATTCGCAAGAGAAGTCAGCGGGAATATAGCGATTAAGGCTTGTCCCCTGTACAGAACGTGTTCCCCTTTAGGCTCGAGATCATGATGCTCCTCTGATCCACATCTCGTGGATTTGCCACTTCGTATCTACTGATTCTCGAAGTAAGGCACGGAAGCGCCTTGGTCCCGCATCAGTGGAAGAGAGCGGTAGCTGAGCATAACATTCTCTGAGGGTTCGATCCCCACTCGAATATGTGGGATCGTCTATCTCGACGGAGCTATCGAAGCAGTACACGTCATCTGCCTGTGCCTGATGCCCATCTCGGTCAGTTGCTATTGTTCGCGGGGAAGGGGAAGGCATACCCAGTGAAGGCCGTCAACAGAGCTCTCGAATTTACAGGTTTTCAGAATTCGTTCTGTCTCGGCATCCACAAGGAATACGATTTGGAGCGTCTGAATGTCGGATTTTATTGGGTTAAGGAGGTCGATAGCAATGAAATCGTTTGCACGAGCATCTAATAAGAACATCAGTATATGGCGTCAGTACCGGCAAACGAAGGATCGTACTCCCGGGACTAATGAAAGATGTATCTGGGAGCCCATCGACAGCTTGTGAAGGAGCATGGCGCAGATAGTGTTCCTTTCCTTGGTCTCCCAGGAGAGCGGCGTTGCGTGCTTCTTGATCTAACATTGCCTGAGCCGAGTCTGCTGTATACTCACGTGCGTCAGGTAACAGCCGGATGTTCGTCTCCAGCATTCCCGGAATCCCAAGCAAGGCAGAACGAGAAATTCCGGTACGGGAAGAATCCATCGCATCGTAATTAACGTAGGGTGATTCCTTCTTGCCAGGAACGGACGGTAGGCATGGTGGATTATCCCAACTCAACAAAGCATCCAGATATTTCCCGGCCTTCCCCTTCACATGCTCGTTAGTGCTTCAATAGCTCCAGCGAACTTTATACTGACTATGTGCCTTCTGTTCCGCAAGTCTCCCTCAACACCTGCTGTGAACGGCTGACCACCGCCGAGTTCAATTCCTTGGTCAAACCAAATTTCAGGGATCTCATTTTTTAGAATAGAGAAATAATTATCAGCCATCCCCATTTCCTCGAAGGTGAAGTTGAGGCGATGGAGGAGTTCGAGAAATTCCTCCGCATCCGCGCGAGGAAAAATTGTTCCATGACCGAGCCAGGCGAACGAGGTATGGAGTCTTCCGTCGACTGAATGGAGCTCACGCAGCTGACTGGATAAGTGCTCATGCGGCGGAAGGAGGTGAAGCGCGCTTGGTCGTCGCGACTTCGTCATGCGCTCCTGAAGGGCCGTGATAATCTCCGGACGAAGCAAGTAGTCGTCATCCTACCCATGCAAAAATTCAGGTCCTTCCACAGGGTATCCACCGGGGAAAACGGTACCTGTGTAAAGCAATATGGTGTACTAGATTGGGCGCAAGCCATGAAACGGGCTTTGAAAAGCAGATTAGAGGGAGAGTTGTGTATCCTGAGTTTCTCAGGCGAGCACCCAGACCCTGCAAAGTCCTAGACACGATTGAAACGTACTCGGCCGATGAGACTTTGGGATTAGGACTTAGATCTTCTCACATTGAGGGCGATTGATTTGGGATTATTGTTCCAGATGAAGACCTGAGAAATAACGCTGTCCAGCGTCGGATCGCATAGCAAGGCCGCAATCAGGACGACGTTACGGAACCGAGACCAATTCAATACAATGGCGGTGGTGTCCGGCTGCAGCGTCGCATCTGGCGCAGGGGTAACCAGTCGCGAATAGGCTTTAAAGCCTGAAACGTCTCCGACGTATGTGATCGGTGGAACACTGGGGATTCCCCATTCTCTCAATCCGACTGTGTAATTCAAGCTTGTAGATCCAGGTGGATGGCCACGGCGAGATAGACTAGTGAGGACGGCCAAGGTCGCGCAGAACAGCGCGCAAAGGAGTAAGCATGGGCCCAGAGAGGATCTTCGAGCGGATTTATCAGGTGCGACCATTCCTCTTGGCTCGGTGATGAGTCCTATCTGTATCGTATTGAGGAGCGATCGGTCTTGAAGCTTGAGATGGTGTGGCTTGAAGATCGGCTTCGTACGGCGACAGTGAGAAGCAGACTTGTAATTCTGTCGTGGAATAGGCGCTCGCCTCGCAGTCGTAGTTGAAAGCAGAGTCTCCAGAAAGTACGTAGCGTTGTTGAGAATGCTTACAGCCCGTGACCCGCGGACTGGTTGGGTTATTACAGTATCAGTTAGCGCATGGCCAATAGAAGCGTAAGGTTCAGCCGGATCCACTGCAGCTGTACGCTGCATCCAAATTAGCATTGAGCATCCCGGTCACTTCAGGGCCCAATATGCGAAGCATTTCTTATGCCTCTGAGCCGTCATGATGTCCCGCATACGGGCCCCCAAATTGCATAGGCAGTTTCAAACGTTTACTCGGCGCGAACACGCTCAGCCAGTATCTCTACTCAGCTCGGTGCAGGTAAGTAGCAAGTAGTATTGCGCTATGGAGGATAACGGACTATGCGTGGTAGGCCAAGATTGCGCAGATAGATGCAGAAAAGCCTTTCTCCCCCGCATTGATCGACTCATTCCAGCGCCGGCATGACTATCTACGAATCTCACTGACCGAGAAGTGCAACTTACGATGTGAGTCGCGTCGCTTGTGTATGATGAAATTAAGGCCTTGAATATTCTGCGCAGGTTTCTATTGCATGCCTAGCGAAGGCGTGGACCTGTCACCCAAATCGCATATACTGACCGATGATGAAGTGATACGATTGGCCGAACTGTTTGTGAAGAGCGGTGTCAGAAAGATTCGGTTAACTGGAGGAGAACCGACTGTTCGGAAGGGTATTGTTGACCTGATTGGTGAGTGAATTGTCGCCCACCTGGTAATACTGGCCGAACGAGCCATATGTCCAGGTCGTTTGAATGAGCTCCGGAAATACGGTCTCCAGTCCATCGGGATGACAAGCAACGGGATTGCATTGCACCGGAGGATCCCCCAGCTGGTTGAGAATGGCCTGACGCACTTGAACCTGAGGTTTGCCGACCTTCGTTCCCACCACTTCTGTGCTAATGTTGATTCCTTTATCCCAGCCTGGATACTCTGGACCCCTTCAAGTTTGAGATCATGACGCGTCGACCCGGCCATGACGCAGTTCTGCGTTCACTACGAGTTGCTCTGGAGTCGCCAGGTCTACATTCCGTGAAGTTGAATGTCGTGGTCATCAAGGATCTCAACGATTATGAAGTGCCCGAGTTCGTTGAGATGACGAAAGACAATAATCTGTCCGTGCGATTCATAGAATTCATGCCGTTCACAGGTCTGTGAAGGTTTTCCTACGCCTCGTGCGATCGCTCATATGGATCTGAATTATGTTAGGTAACAAGTGGCAGCAGACGAAGATGGTACCCTCGTCGGAACTACTAGATCGGATCTCATCGAGGCATCCGGAGCTGTTCAAGGCAGCGGATGAATTAAACGACACTGCCCGCTCTTACAAGATACCCGGATATGCGGGTAGCTTCGGCTTCATCAGCAGCATGTCTGATCACTTCTGCGGATCATGCAATCGCCTCCGTCTCACTGCTGATGGTCAGATCAAGGTATGCTTTCACATCATCATTTTGAACCTCGATATGCTACAGCATCGACCTGTTCAGGTCTGTTTGTTTGATAACAAGGAAGTGTCCCTACGCGATCGGATCAGACAAGGCACCAGTGATAGCGAGCTCCTTGAAGTGATCGGCCAAGCAGTCCGCGGGAAGGCTGAAAAACATGGCGGCATGAAGGATCTCGATGATCTCAAGGAGGGCCCGAATCGACCTATGATACTCATCGGAGGTTGAGTCGATTCCTTCCCCTGGTAGCCATATCTGTATTGGGACACTCGTTGTATTTTTAATCTAGGCTTTTCTGCTCGCAATATCATCAAGATGTTTCATCGACGTATATATCACTGGCTCCGCGATACATCTGTTCTGAAACTCCAACGCCGCGTTTACTCTTCAAATAGCCATGGACCTTTTCCGCGGTTGACTCACGTGGATAAGATGGGCCGTCCGTCGATGGTCAACGTCTCTGACAAACAGCCAACTAAGAGGTCTGCAACTGCGGTCGGCCGGATACATATCCCGCCCGTGGCCTACGACTTGCTCACAACTTCGTACCCTGGGGAGACCGGGGAGGATGATCTGACAGATCCTCTCAGTAAAGCAAAAACGAAAGCTCGTTCAAAAGGGGACGTGCTAACCGTCGCGCAGCTAGCTGCTATCATGGGCTGCAAGAAGACGTCAGACCTCATCCCCTTATGTCACCCATTAGCACTGTCCCATATCTCGGTCACTCTGACTCCGGAAGTATCACAACCCCTCAGATCCGAGTCGAATCTGACCAGCTCGTCGGAGACACCAAACGGCAATCATTCACCGCGATACAGCATAGCATGCCGCGCCACCGTGAACTATGAAGGCAAGACCGGTGTCGAGATGGAGGCCTTAACCGCCGTCTCGGTGGGTTTACTCACCGTGTGGGATATGTTGAAAGCGGTGGCGGGGAAGGAGATGATGATCGGAGAGATCTATGTTGAACGTAAAACAGGTGGAAAGAGCGGAGACTTTATGAAACTGGAGGACGGCAGATGAGTTAGTGAGATATCTCGTAATCTGAATCATCAAGAGCCACCCTGCGGTATCTAAATTTATCGCAACGAAAACGATCTCGAGCAGGGGATAAGTCTGCCGCTACCAATATATGAAGTCCAAGATGCATGTACTTGTGTCAGGTGAAATTATACAACATGTACGCCTACGGCTGCGAGGGACAGGAAATAGCTTGCTACAGTTTGGAGCGGACATAATATGGAGATAAAGATACAGCTGTATAAATAGAAGCTTGATGGCACCGAGATGTTTGCGAGTCCGAAGGGGGAGAGTAAATAGATGAATAAATACAAGAATACGGAGGCCGGCTTCGAATGGTTGCGTCGTTGATTTGTTGGGTCTACCAATGCCCCCGGTGAGTTCCGACAAAGCCGAGTTCGAGGGAGTCTTCGACGCCCGCCAGTCTATCGTTGCCGCAGAGGCCGACGAAGCCTACTTTAGCGTAGACGTACTGGGCGTTGTTTGTATGCCCGACATAGAGGACAACGGATTCCTTGTGGTATTCAAATAATAGCCTAAATACAACAAAACTGTCAGTGATGTGCTGTCCTGCGAAGATTGATGCGCACTTTGAAGTAACATATCGAACAAGATGTTGGGCACAACCCTTCTTCCTGTATATGCCAACTTGTTAGACAGAGGTACCGATAGCCGTAAAACGTCCTCACCTCCAGGGAACAAGAGTGTATACCTTAGTTATGGCTGAGACGTTCACAGAATTACGAGTGACGGCACATATGGTAGTGATCTCGCCATCCGCGTCGTAGACCCAAATCTGCCGTTTACGGATGAGCTCCTCGGCTTCTACACGGGCAGCATCGATAGTCAACGGGAAATAAACCTTGCGAGTACTTCAGTGTATGATCACGATGAGATAATCCGCGGTGCTCACTGAGTCGTCTGCGAACTCCTTGCATAGTTGGGCAACGGATTCCAAGTCAGTCATAGATGCATCACGAAGGCGATGGCCCGATGGAAGGGCATTATCCGATGACCTTAATGTCTCAGCCGTGCAGTATGTAAGGAAGGCTGCATAAAACGGCTCGGGCTCGGGGCGGAAGCCGGTGAGTTCTGTCCAGTAGCGGGCGAAGGTTTTGACCAGTGGGGTCATGCCAAAGACCGAGAACACTCGCTCCGGCGGTACACAGGCAACCAGATGCTCAGCGAGTCGAGCAACACGCGGGACCAATGATGCTGAAGATGTGAACTGATGGGGGGACCACAGAAAAATAGGGTAGTCGCCTAATCTCCAGTTGAGACATGACAATACTAGGTCGAGTGAGTGGGGTCCTGACGGAGATGGAGATGACCACAGTGTGAGCCAGAGGGAGCTACTGCTGGCCCTTAATGCCGAAGCTGGCAGGTGGGCAGCGACCTGCTCTGTCCATATCTTCTCGATGTCTGACTGTGAAATAAATTCATAGTCCGTGAGCACGGCTTCGGCGCTCACGCGCTTCAGCGCATGGGCTAAAATAATGTTCGATGATCGTTCGATGCGGCGAAGGGTGGGATATGCTACTGAGAGGAAGTCGTCGGCGGAGTCATGATAGAGGACTGTGAATGTTGCAGAAGGACAATTAGCGATTAGACCAGGCATATTTAAGTATAGGGAGACGAGTAGATAGTGAGAAACTTATAGGAGCTTATGTGTAACCGAGTGCAGACAGGCAAGAGCTAAAGCGCGGCCTGCGGACCTTTTTATACGAGTCGACCTGCGCTGCCTCTCACATAGCTTGGGTGAGTGGTCAGTGCATTCCGAGGGATATTGATCGCGTCAGAAAATCAGCCGGCCCACCGCACTGCTATGCAACCTACTTACTCTGGCCTTAGGCACGTCACTTTAATTGCAAAACGACGTTGCAGCGTCAGCGACGATGCTATGGTTTGAAATATTTACAGCGCGCTAGCCATCTTGGGCGCCACAGGATTTCCTCGGAAATATCAGCACTCAAAGCGGACAGCTGACGCTGCAGCAGTACCCACCCCTCGAGCGTTCAGCGATTCCAGTCAGCCGAACGATACTCGAGCTGAAACTCCAACTTGAACTTGGACGCGCGGCAAGGAACGTCGGTGGAAGCACGGAATTGCCAAACGATCGAGATTAGGCCAAGCACTCCACGTGGGGCACGTGCAGAGGCTGTTCTACAGAGTTGCGCCTTGAAACTCTGGAAGTGGATGACTTCCCGTAAGCCAAAATCCTAGATTTCGCAGTTCTAAACGCCATCAGCGTACCTGGTCACACTCGCTGCCACGGTGAAATGGAAAAATAGAACTGTTCCTCCCATCCGTAATGCCAGACCAACGCTCGACGACTGCAAGTCACGACCATGAGGTCGCTTTCCATTTATGGCGAGCGGATCGCTCAATTTAGCAGGTGCTGATGGCAGGTTTGATACGCGGACCTCAACCGAGGCTAAGCGAGCGTTTAGAGTCGTCTGGAGATTTGGAAAGGGGGGTCGACCCCCCCTGCTAGATTTAAAGTTTAGAGACGGTTTTTGCTCGACGAGCCTCATCAAAACTTGGTCTAAGCGAGAGCGTGACAAGACGGCATCTCGGCTTGATGCGTTTAGAGATTTAGAACTGCTCAAAACGCATTCTAAATGCTTACGGGAAGTCAT